AGCTTTCAGTGTCAAAGAATATCATCAGGTCCCATAGAAGCTGCAAGAACAGCTAGGTGATGTTCTGGCTCTTCATCATGTGCGAAGAATCCCTAAGCAATGAAAGACATTATATCTTCTCAGAGAAGAAGGAAGAAGAAGAAGAAGGAGAAGGAGAAGGAGAAGAAGAAGAATTATTCAAACACCCACCTAAGTTCTCAACAAGAGAATCAACATCATTGTTAGAATGAGGACCATGTCAATAATTCAGGTGGACTGAATGAATTAGTGGGTGATGAATAGGAGTTACTGGAATAATCAGAACATTATAAGGTATAAAGTATAAGTACATTATAAGATGATTCAGATGCTGTGGGAAGATGTTCACAATTATCAGAGACCAAAGTGAACTGTGAGTAATTCTGAATGACACCATCAGGAGCCATTAACCTGGTTACCTTGTCAGCCAGAGTCCCCAAGATCATGAAGATGAGGACAAAAAGATGAGATGACGGTAATGATGATGTAGAGATAAGGAGCAGCTCTGAATTGAAGTAAGAAATTCTCTACCACCTTGCAACTTCTCTTACAGAAATGAGAACTTTAACACGAATTATCTGCATGGTGACCACAGACTAAATCAAGATACTTATGAAATTAGCATTGAATTACTAAGACCAAAGAAAATTCCTTTTCTGAGCTTCTACAAAGCAACTGGATAGATCTCAAATCCAGCAGCACACCTCTCTGCTAATCTTCAGAGTCATCAAAACGAGACTAACAAGTAAAATGTTAAACACCATCTTTGCAAACACCTTTCTCTGGTGCCCAAGGTAACTTTCCTCCAGCTCTAGGAACTGGTTCTCATGCAACAATTCTCAGACTAAAAGCTCTGTGTGTGTTGGCATTTTGTTCTTTTGTTGTTTTAGTTGGTTGGTTGGTTGGTGAATGGTGGTGGCGCTAATACCACACAACTGACCAAAAAACAGTCCAAGAAATCACGATAAAAGAGCCATACAGATGCTTTCCCACAGCTAAGAAAGGCAGAGACCCCTCTGGTCAGTCATAAGGCCACCCAGATATCATTTTTCCAATGTTTGACTAAACTCTCTACAGAAAGTTCCAACCTCTTGGAATAAACTTCTTGAAGGAAAAGCAAACTATAATCTAATCGAGATGAAAGGGAAAAAAAGGTTTTATCCCTTGCAATGACCCACTGTGAAATAATTGGGCATTATGGGAGGAGCACCTGCTCTCTGAGCTTTAGATGAGAAAGTCTGGAATGAATTGTGTGTCCTCATCAAGGCCCCTACGAGGTAACATAAAGAGCTCTTGTTTTAGAACTGATAAACCACAAACAGAATTTTCTTTTGGGATGTTGGTGGCATAAAAATTTTCATTTTGTAAATGTCAGCACACTGCATGCAGGAAATACTTAGAGAAAGATATCCACACAAAATAAATGCCAACTGGTAATCATATGGCACTTCTCCACTCACAAAAATGGAAGAAAGACATTAAAAAGAGGGCCCCACGTGTAAGGAAAGGTAGGCAGCAAGCGCCCTTCCTCACCCATAGCCAAGGTTTGAAGGTGAGTGCTTCTCATTAAGATCATAGAGTTCTATGTCTGATCTATCTGTGGCAATGACTCATTCTATTTCCTGGAATTGATATATCATACTACTTTTACAGCTTTGTTATAAAAGTCCTTGCTGGATGGTTGCCTTAAAAAAAAAAAGAGTAGTGTATTATCTTAGGGCATGATAGTAAACCAAATTCTTAAGCAATGTTCATATTTTTGAAATATCCATCAAATTTACTTAAAGTGACAAAACACATAGTCACTTTTTTAAATCAAAGAAACTTGTTTCAGTGTATTGGAAGTCATGTAATTACAAAAATCTATTTATTACATTACAGTTTTCAATGTTCATCATTTTATCTTACTTTCCTAAGCACAACCCCAGAGCGACAATTAACTATAAGAGATAAATTAGTTTTTTCTGTGCAAAACTACCACAGAGGAAATCATTTGCTAAGACTGAGCTAAAGATAAAGTTTTTAATTACTTTGCTTTGCAGAGATGACTTTTTATTAAATAGCAATCATTTTCCTGCCTTCCATGTTTCTCTCAGAAAACAAAGCGCTAAGGAGAATACAGCTGCATTGCAGCAATCAGTTGTGTCCAAACTGGCCATTTTGACAGTTTGCTCACTGAGGTTTAAGGGAGAAATAGAAAGAAATGCTTCCATGGAAAAAATAAGTGGTGTTGTCTTGGTTTTTTACTTCCTATTAGATGATCAGTTTGCTGAAAATTCACCAATGTTCACTGAAAAATATATGACCAATGCAATGTATTATATCCACATTCTTCTTATCATCAATCCCAAATTATTTCCATTTCACGATTCCAAACTGGATTCACTTTCCAAAGTCTGTCAAAATGCTGTCTTGTGGATCTGATATGAACAATTACACAAACATGTAGCTTTGACAAAGGAACTAAGTTAAAGTTTCCTCACTCTTCTTAAATCATATTTCTTTAGTTTAACCATAAAGATCTTTATACAACATCACCTAAGTCACGAAGAATCAGGTTAAGTATAATCATCAAATAAGTACCTTAAGCTACGCTGTGAACCAGTAAGTTAAACTTACTAAAGTAATGGAAGTAAAGAACTGTTCTTCAAAGAGAGAGACAGACAGAGAGAACGAGAGATCTCAACACAGACGTAACAGTAGTTTCTCACAATCCTATAAAGGACAATTACACTTCTGAGAATTTTCTTCTTTATAATTTCTTCATGGAGGGTAAACACACAAAGGGAAACAAACCATTTGATTAGAATGGATCCTACACTACGTATGTTGTGATTATGTTCCATCTCCTAAGTTTCCACTGGAAGAGGCATCTCAAAGTATACCCTTTCCTCCACCCTGCCCTGCTTCATTAACATCCACTTAGAGGCATCAAATCCTAAAGGTTATTAAGACGGCGAGCTGGCATTTGAAAAGTAAATGCATCTCAAAATAGAAGGCCACTTTTTTAGCTAGTCCTCTTCTAATAAATGTTCTAAAGGGAAAAATACAAAGCTTTGACTCTTACCAAACAATTGTCAAAAGAGAGTGAATGAATTGATGAGTGATGCGTGGTCTACAAGGCACACTAGAGAAGCATTTTGTGTACAATTACCAATGTTAAATTGCTTTCAGTCAGGGTGAGGTTTCTCTTTAATGTCTAATAAATTAAGACATTTAAAATATTTTTAAATACTTTTAAAGATCCTTTAAACACGAAGCTAAAAAACATTTTCACAATAAATTTTAAAGATTTTTTTAAGATGTAGTGAGCATCATTAAATGCTTAGTACCAGATATTGATGCATAGCTTATTACCAGCTCATGTCTTCCTTTATATCAACACGTTTCATAAAGATGCACAATTTTTGCTCACTGGTATATTAAATGAAAAATACCACTGGTATATTAGATGAAAAATGAAAAAATAAGTGTGTATATATATATGTGTGTGTGTGTGTGTGTGTGTGTGTGTGTGTGTGTAACTATTGTAATTCTGCAGCTTGGGAAATGATTTTTTGGAGTACACACACATGAAGTTTAAGAGAAACACCAACAGATAATGCAGTCTCTTTATCACCAAATAAATGAGAAGAAAATTGAAGGCACTGGATTTGCAATGTGTCTTTTGGAGGGAAATACCTTCTTTATTTAAACACGCCTGTAGACTCCTATCAGTGCAATTTTTAAGCCAATTGGGACCCTTCTGTATGTGGAACAAATTGAATGAGCACATTACCCCAGTTCACCAAAGTAACAAGCTTTTTCTGTTAGGAACTATAATTTTTCCAAAGAAGATTTAACCTGGATTCATACTAGTCTATGAAATTAAAAATCGCATGATACTATGTGGACTAGCCTAACAGTCAAGAAAATAGGCTCTTGAGTCAGACGAAGGCGGTTCAGAATCTACCGCCAACAACTGACGCCTAGTTCTGTAGGCAAATTACTTAACAGTCCTACCCCTCGGTTTCTTTATCTGCATGAGGGTTACTGTAATAACTACCACATTTCATTTAACTTTAACACTATCATTTCATTTTATCTTCACAATGACTTTGAGAAAATGTTTATTGTTAGTCCCATTTTATAGATAAGGAAACTGAGATTTAGAGAGTTTAAACACTAGCGTAAGCTCAGGGAGGATCTTTGCAAAACACATCCCATTTGCAAACACCCAGCCAGCTGAGTGTCTGGAGGAAATTCCATAAGCAAAGCAAAGGTCAAAAACATCCTATGTTCACAGGGAAACAGTAAGGCAGCCAAAAGCCCCTTGTAAGAGTTGACTACTGCTCAGAGTAAGAACTCTGCAAGTATTAGATATGTCCTCATCATTAGTGAGAACTTCAAGGATTTTAGTCTAAGTAAACAGATTTCAGACAATAGTAAAAATAAACTAATTTATTCATATTTGTATTGTACCAACTTCTGTGGTGATTCCAGCATTCATTTTGGCAGTCAATCAATTCGGATAGCTATAGTAATTAAACTAACACTGTTCTTGCTAGCCAAGCACTGAGCAAACTAAGCATTTCACGTTGACCTTGAGATGATGTGTGTTATCATTGTCATTCCCATTTTACAGATAAGGAAACTGAGGTAGAGAGTTTTAATACTAGCATAAGCTCAGCCAACAAGAATTGGATCTGTGATCTAAATTCAAAGCTTTCAAAGCTAACCTACCGTACATAAGTTAAAAATTCTTGGGACATTATCAAGTAGTACCTAAATACAATCTTATTTGTTTCCAAAAGACCCTTATTAAAATACTGTGCTATATTCCGAGGATTGATGAGTTTCTAAGTTAACAGATTGCCATATTAGAGCAGAATTACATTTCAGATGTGTTCAAATTTCACAAGTTATTTGATATTTAAAAGAAACCAGGCTGACCATAAGAACACAAAAGAAACGCTTTGAGAAGAGAAATCAAAAATGATTACCTGTTCCTTGAATTGAAGGGAAGAAGTTGAGAAGCAAAAGCAGCAGCCTGGACATCATTGTCCTAACATGGGCCAGGGCTCCAGCCCCTCCTCCCAGAGAAACCCAAAGTGTGAGGTGAACTGAAGGCACATCTGCCAAGGCCCCCGGATAGGCCTCCTTCCCTTAGGGCACATGATCAAGGGCCTGAAACCACAAGGCATCGTGACTTTCACACAGGATATTACATTGTTTTGATGACTTTAGGCTTTTGCTTCTTTTAAAAGGAAGTCTCTTCTTGTCACCGAATGTCAGTAACTATATAATGGGCTCAGAGGAATTACTCTTTATTGATGGATATCAGTGTTGTGAAAAATGGGTGTTTGAAATCCATCAGGGACAAACAAGGTACTGTAAAGAAGGAAGAAAGTCTCTTGCAAAGGAGGGAATTTCATAGGATAGGGAGAGACTATGTCAAAAATACAAAAAGAACTATATGGGGTGTTTGGAGATGTCTGCTAAGTATTTAAAGGCATTATGAATGTGAGGGATTTAATGTTTCTGTTGATCATAAGGTAGCCCGATGTTGCATTTAGCACACAGTGCTTAGTTAATGCTGAGTCTCTCTTCATTTACTTTTAGGAATCTTGCAGAACACATCCTACTTGTAAGCACATAGCCAGCCAGCTGAGTGTCTGGAGAAAATTTCCTCCTATGCTCTTAGGGAGACAATAAAGCAACCAAAAGCCCCTCTATGTCCCTCAAGCAATCATTCAAGGTTAGATAACAGGCTTTAAGAAGCAGCTCCATAGAGGATCTCCAGGGCCTGTACCCCACCCTCTGCAACCCTCTGCCATCCCCAGGCCTTCTGCAGAGAGGACTCTTTCACCAGCTTGGTCTGCTCTACTTCCTTCTGGCATCTTGGTCAGTACCTGGTCCTCAGTTTCTCTCTCAAAACTTTCTCATTCTTTTCTCCTTGCCCTCATTTGTTGTTTTGTGTATATGATTTTTTTTTATGAGTTATAAGGATTTATTCAAAAGGTATTTTATTATTTGTGTGTGTGTATATGATTTTTAAAGATAATTTCTATTGCTTTTTACTCTGACTATAAAAGTATAAATTTTCATATACAAAGTTTAGAAAAAAAGATAAGTATGAACATTAAAATGAGATTTACCTACAATCTTACCAACCTGACAGAAATACTGTTACTATTCTGTTCTTCTATTTGTCTACTAAGATTTTTTACACATTTAATATGATGTTTTGTTTATAATTTTCATCAGCTATATATTGTTATCTGTTATATCTTACACATTTTCTATGTGACTTAAGTGTTTTCTTGATTGGATTTATTTTAGCAGGTATATAAAAGTTGCATATAATAATGGGTACCATACGATGTTTTGATTTATGTGTACATTCTGTAATGCTTAAATCAAGTTAAGTATGTCTGTTTTCTAAATACTTACTGTTTCTTTATGATGGAAACATTCAAATATCTTTGCTAGCTTTTTGAAATGTACAATACATTATTGTTATTGTATACTCACCCTACTATGCAGAAGCACACCACAACTTCTTGTTTTTATCTAACTATAACTTAGCATCTTTGTCCAACCTTTCTCCATCCCTGCCTCCCCTCCAACCTCCCCAGCTTCTGGTAGTCACCATTCTACTCTCAACTTCTTTTTTGGTTTTTTTTGAGACAGAATCTTGGTATGTAGCCCAGACTGGCCTTAATCTCGAGCTCTTCCTGTCTCAGCCTCCAAGTACTGGAGGGTGTGTAGCACCACACCCAAAGTCTCTACTCTCAACTTTTATGCAGTTAACATTTTTTTCCACATATAAATGAGATCAGGTGGTACTTACCATTCTGTGCCTGACTTACTTCACTTAACATAATGACCTCTAATTCCGTCTAGGTCATCACAACGACAGGATTTCATTCTTTTTTATAGCTCAGTGGTATCCATGATGTAGTGTGTACCACAGCTTTACCCACTCATCAGCTGATGGACTACTTACATTGTTTCTGTATTGTGGCTGTTGTAAATAGTGCTGCAATGCACATGGGAATGAAGATGTTCTTCTACATACTGATTTAATTTCCTTTGGATATATACCCAGTAGTGGAATTGCTGGAGCACACAGTGGTTCTATTTTTTATTTTTTGAGGACACGCCATACTTTCTGCCATAAACAACTTACTAATTCATTCCCAACAACAGTGTGCAAGGGGTCCCTTTTCTCCACATTCTCACCAGCAATTGTTGCCTTTTAATTTTTACAATAGGCACTCTTATGTAGTAAGGTACTATCTCTTTGTGGTTTTGATTTGCATTTCCTGGATAATTAATGTTTTCTTTGAGAAATGTCTATTAAGATCTATCACCCATTTTTCTAATTGGGCTATTTGGTTTTTCCCACTGAGTTTTAGAGTTCTGTAATATACTCTGGATTTCAACCCCTTGCCAGATGTATAGTTGTAAATGTTTTCCCCCTTTCTTTCTGTAGGGGTGTTTCTTCACTCTGTTGGTTATTTTCTTTGCTGTGGCCACAGCTTTTAAATTTGATGTAATGGCCATTTGCCTGTTTTTGCTTTGTGTTCCTACACTTTTGGAATCTTCTCCAAAGAGAAGATTGAAAGTATTTCCTCTCTTCATAAACCCCTTGTCTACATTTCAATTTTCTTTTCAAGCAGTCCTTGTACCCTCCCATACTGACACATCTTTCAGTCTGTTAGAGCAATTGTTTTAGAATTGATTCAGTAACACTTCTGAACTACAGATAAGTGACAAAATTATGCCCTAGTCCTGGACAACATCACTTCTTACATTTAACTGAGCGTTCCTGGCTCTTAATCTCCAACTTGTTAGAGGTTGAGAGAGCATATCTTACTCAGCCTTATGTCTTTCTAGGACAATTTAAAGATGGCAAGACAACCTTCCCTTGAAAGAAGAACCACCAGCTTCTCCAGATCTAGAATGAGGGGCTCTGAGATTCATTACTCAGACAATAGTAAAGCAGAAACAAAAACCTTCCATAATTTCTATGAATGATAACAAAAAGCTAAAAAGCAAGCATATTACAGATGACTGGACAGCATCTAGTTATATTATGCAATGGTAGGGCTTACTTGACTCAATTTAGATGAAAAAGAAAGCGTGCAATTTTTCTGGTCTAACCCTTTATTGTACAGAGGAAGGAAGCCAAAGTCCCATGAGGTAAGCAACTTAGACGAATTTTCTAAGACATTTAAGTGTACTTAATTCTCATCAATTGACCAATCCTAGCTGGTTTTCATTCTTAGAATAAAAAGAAACACAAATCAACATTTTTGCCCACTACCCTCCCTTAACTATGTATCACAGCAAAGAAGCAAATATATTTTATTACTCATCTCAACATTAGTTACCATGAAAGGACAGGCGAACACCAAACTACAGGAAAGAAAAAGCAAGAATAAGAGTAACCTCAACTACGGTACACACAAATCAAACCTTCAAACAACAAGACAAACAAATGACAGGAATCACCACATACCTATCAGTACTAACACTTAATGTT